TTGCTAATGAAAGATTAAAGCCTGCACTTGAGTTAAGACAGAAATAGTTTATAAGTCAGTAGATAGTCGGTTAAAATAAATGCCACTATTTTATTGATCAGAATAGAGTTTTCAGTTAGGTTGGTGTGGTCTGTACCTGGGTCCACTGAAGGGCTTAGTTATGAGCTTTGGTGGTGGGAGGCTCAAATGTTACGGTTGTTTCAGTGGGTTGGAAGTGGTTGTGTTGAAACACCACAATCAACTCAGATCTTCCAGCAAAGTCAAAGTGGAATAATTTCTATTAGCATTAGTGAGTACCAAATCCCATGGAATATGTATATAGGAGTGGTCTAACAGTTTTATTTTAAAATTTTAAAATTTTGATATTATTTTCCTAGAAATTATGAACATGGCATTGAATTAAATTTATGATAAACATTTCAGAGTTGAAATAAAAACGTGTAAAGTGCATATTCTTTTCAAAAAGCATAGAGACTATTTGCACAAACATGTTTGCAGTTCTCTGTTTTAGGGCAATTATCAAGGGTGGCAAATTGAGTTAGTCTTGTTTTATACTTCCCATGGGTGTAATATTTTATGAGCCATGGACATGCTAGTGGATATAGAGAGGCTTGTTTTGTTGTTTAAACTTTTGGAGACAAGAGAAGTATCAACTCTTTCATTGGCTGAAATCAATTCAAACATTAAAATAAATTCAAGTCATTTTAAGTAAAGCCCTTTTTTCCTAGTTTCAGCCAAGGCTGTAAAACTGAGTGCCATTTGGTACATGCCCTAGATTGCAGAGGAAATCAGAAGGCAATGAAGCTTTAGTGGCTCAAAATAAACATTGTTTAAACTTCATTCCAAAGCCTCCATTTGATTGAAAAAGCCCAAAGAACAAAAGAAAGAAAAAAAAAAGAAATGACCTTATATCCCTCAATGTTTTGGTATTTTTAATTCCGAAGTCAGTTGGATTCAAAGCATCTGGCCTCACCCCCCTACATTCCTCTTTGATAATGTCGAGCAAAATAGCCCTTCAAAATCATAGAGTCAGTTAAAATTCAGTCAGGGCATCTGTTTGGTACCATAATAGCAGATTCGGGCCAGTATTTGAAAGTGGGTAATTTGGAATCTGGTTCATTTTGCCATGCTGAGAACCTGGCCAGAATCTTCTCACAGCAGGTGGTCTGGGGAACTGGGCCTCTGAAGGCGCTGGTGTGGTTCTATTTATGTCTCTATGTTAGATGATGATCCTGAAGCCAGGGTTGCTGTGACTCTGCCAGACTGGAATCCAAAACAAAGCACCGAGCCAGCTGATTACCACCAGGCTCATTTCCAAGGGACCTGACACAGTTCTCATAAGCATAATGTCCAGTGACCTAGTTTTGATTGGCCTTGTTTGTTTATCAGCCTGGCTGCCAGTACCAAAGTGGATTGCATCTGTTTTCCTCCTGAAATCAGGAGCCAATTTTCAGTAGAGAGGGAGGTCTGAATGCATTCAGCCTGTACCATTGAAGAGAGCATCTCTTAGTCACTTATTAGACACCAGAAGACTTTCTCAGCAAGGTGGTGAAAGAAGTTCCTTTTAATCGATCTTGGCAGTGAAAGGAAGTACGCTCCCTCTATATATAAATACCTCTCAAACACATGGCCTCGTTTGATGCTTATAACCACCTCGTGGTATAGGAGAGGTTTGCATTGCTATTCCTATTTTTAGGTATAGGAGGAAGTTAGAAGGGTTAAATGATTTGTCTAAGATTACCACTCAATAAGAAAATCCAGAAACTATTCTCAGCCTTGCCATCTCTCCTTGACTTTGGTTTGATGTACAACTTACAGCCATCTGATGTATAAGCTGATGGAATGATAATAGCATGTAAGACTCACGACAGTATATTTGAAACCACAACATTTAGCAGACCTCTAGTTGTGGCTACTTCTGTCTTGCCACAAATTCTACGGTATTGATTTTTAACCACACAGCATTTCAGTATTGCAGATTTAGAAATGGACATTAGAATCCGAGCTCATTTGTAGTGTTTAAAGAATTAGTTTTTTGCCTAAGTGTGGGTGCCATGAGGAGACACATTTTCAGGAGGTGTGGGGGTGGTTTTTAAAGTCTGGACAGCACATAGTTTGTAATTGAATCATGATGTGGTAACAGCAACTTTCCTTTTCAACTATTAAGAAAATAACATGCCTTGTCTTTGATGTTCAAAGAACTATGCTCAGTTGCTAAGAACTATACAAGGATTGACTGGTTTCAGGGATCACAGTTCCATTGGAGAGGTAATATGTATACACATAAAATAGTCAGCAATGTGGGACGGTAGTTATGATGGCAATGGCAGATACAGATGGCAAGGCTTACGGTGACAAGGAGAGAGTGCAGTGAGTAGAGCTAATTTTGGAAGACTTTTAGGTTTTGTAATAGGAAGTAACATTTAAATACTACATACAAAATAGCTTTCTAGATGGTCAGTTGAAAATGAGGAAACTGTTTTGGGCAAAAAAAAAAAGATAATATAAAAGAACAAAGCCTGTTGTGGGATATAAATAGCCTGTCTCACCATAGGACAGGAATATGTAATAGGCAGGGCTGGGAGAGATAGATGTAAGCAATTTGGTGGGGAGATGATGGATGGCCCTGAACTCCAAGTTTATTTTGTTAATTTGTAAGGAAAGAAGTTTCAAGTAAGTGTCTTGAACTGGAGGCAGAATCATAAAAAGCATCATTTTACCTGGTGGCAGTGTTCAGGGCATAGTGGAGAATAGGAGGAGAAACAGACTATCCGTAAAGAGTCAAATTAGAAAAGGGAGCGGAAATCCAGATGTTAAGTGACTGTCAGTGGAACACGACACTGGGCTGGGCAGGGTCCCGGTGAGAGAATCCAGAGTGTTCAGGTCCTTCCCTCCAGCTTCTGCACACATGCCCTTAGCGGCCTGCCTCTTTCTTAACACGGTGGCCATAAAGCGTTGCTGTAGCTCTCAGGAGAAGTTTTATCCATGTCTTTTGTTGCTCCCTCCAAAGTAGCTTGATGGATGATGAGGACATTTTCAAGTGTTTGTCATGTGAAATCCTTTCTGCATTTTTGGTGCCATCTTATCTCATAGTGAGTCATTTGGCGTCATCTTTGAAAAACAACCACACACCTAATTCTTTGGTCCACTAGACTTTGCAGCATCTTTGGAAGCTGTTCCTCTTGGGCAGTCACAACTGTCAGGGGCTGGGGACTGAGGCCTAGTGCTTCAGTGATTCACTGGAAGGCCTCACAGGGCTCAGAATATCATGCTGACTTCTATGGTTGTTTTATTTATTTATTTTATAACACAGGGATACAAAGTTAAATCAGCAAAGGGACAGGTGCCTGGGGACAACTGTGGAGAAAATAGGCATAAGCATCCAGGGTCTTCTCCCAGGGAGTCCACCCAGGATGCATTTAATTCCTCCAGCAACGTGTTCGTGTTGTGAAATGCATGTGCACGGTTGTCTGCCCCTCTCAGTGGAGACTCACTGCCCCCGGGGTTTTCACTGAGGGCTGTTCACACAAGCACCCTCTGCATAGCACATCCCCCAATTCCTGATTCCCAGAAGGAAAGTGGGTGTTCAGCATAAACCACATTGCGTGTACAGTTTAGGTCCAGTGAGCTGCTTCTAACAGCTCTGGGAATTGGATAAACCCTCCCCAAACCCAAGTTTCCTGATACTAACCAAGGGCCAGCCGTGCAAGCATCCTGCCTAAGGATAAGGGTCTCAGGCTTGGGCTTTTTTAGCTCTTTTCTGCACAGGAAGTGAAAAGTTAAGTTGTTAAGAAAGGGATATTGATAGAGACATTTTCCCAAATCCAAGAGAGTTTAGGAGAGGTTTTGTCTCGGGTAGTGATAGTTGAAAAGAGAAGGATTAGAGGAGAAATCCCACAGCACGGAGCACTGACACCAGTCCTGGTCCTGTGTGCACAGGCAGCAGGCTGGGGAGGTAGAACAGAATGGAGAGGGTGCCTTAGAAAACCAGGAAATGCTCAATAGTACAGTACAGAAATCCCCGCAGACAGGCAGGGCTCCCGGCCACTTCCAAATGCTACTGTGACACTATTTCAGAATGTGTTCATTGATTTAAATTAACTTTTTAAACTTAAAATTATCTGTACATATTAGGCAAGAGTTACTTCCTCAGCCAGTTCCCTGAATAGTTTCCTCCCATCACATCTTTCTGTTTTCTTTTGATCATGTTACAAAAACCCCGTTTCGACATTTATTTTTGTCATTGCTTTGAATTCGTTTGTGTAGGTTTCGATGTCACAGGCAGAGAGAAATGGAGGAGCTTTGGCAAGGCTAAAACAATCGTTCTGAGTAGTCCTGCGTACTTCTCTCTGATAATTAGCTGGGACCAGCAGCAGCACCTTTTCCCTTCTTGATAGGAAAATAGTTCTGTTTGTTCATCTAAGACGGCTGCGTTTGCTATTTCATTGATCTCTTTGCTGCTTGCCGGTGAGGAATAAAAATTAAAAGCTACTGGTTTTGAGTGCAGACATCCCCAAGGGATGATGAAATGTTTGAATTTACTACTACACCCTTGGGTTTCTCCCAGACCCTGACTTGTAGATACCGTGTTTCTGACATTTCATTTCTCTTCTTCAGGGTTCGCCGATGCTGAAGTTTTACAGAGCCTCTGAGATGAATAGTCATTGTTATACAGGACCATGAAAGCCAGTAATGGCTTTTACTTTGCTTGTAATAAAAACATATCCCCACTACATTTTTTAAAGCCCTTTTTGTGTGGCTGACTGAATAGTTAGAGGTCTAGGAAATATCGGTGCCTCCTCTCTCTTACCCTCTGGATGCTTCAGAGACAGAAAATGGAAAGGAGAGAGTGTAGTGGTCAACGTGGAATTTGTACTTGTGGTCACCACCAGTGGTGGCTGGCAATTCTGGCCTTATTCACGTCATTGAATTTCAGAAGGGTAATGTGTGCTGTGATTGAGGTGGTTTTAAATTCTCTGTCTCTTGTCTTAATATCCCAGGGTTTTCAGCAAAAGTTCTCCTTCCACAGTAAAGAGATTGTGGCTATCAGCTGTTCCTGGTGCAAGCAGGCGGTAAGTTTGGGGTGAAATAAGCCAAGGCGGGCTCCCATTTTATAAAAAGGCACTAATGACATGACTTGAGTCCCCGTCTAGAGGTGGAACATTATCTTAATTTAATGTGTTACTTTTCTCATATAGAACCCTTAGAGGAAGAAAAAAATAATAGCGTATATGAGTGGGAGAAATTATAGAGATAAATTCACACCTACATTTTATATACATTGAAGCTTGGGATTGAGACTGGAAAATCCTCCTCGTGCTCTAACCCTGGGACGAGAATTGAGGGCTTCTCACTCCTAGACCATGTTTATTTATTTTCTCTACTTGATTGCTGAGAACTCCTTCTCTGGTAGAAAGGAGTAAGATTACGAGCAACACAACACACAGCATGAGGAACCCCTCTAACACAGGGGTACAACCATCTTCGATCTTCTGGTTTGGGTGACTTTTTTATGGGGCTAAGAGTTAGGAGGAAGAGAGTGGTTCCTGTACCCGTTGTCAGGTTTAGACGCTGTTACAGTTGTCTGTATGTGCATTGAAATGCAGCTCTTTCTCGAATTGGAATACTATATATTCGTTAGGATCTGATTGTAATTTCCCCATTTACTTTTCCTCTTGTCTTTTTGTCACTTTCCTCTTAGTACCTAATTCCTCTGTCCCGACCAGATGGTACATTTTATTATGTTTGCCTGTGTACCTGTTCTTTCTTCTACCAGACAATGTGTAGTCTAACTCAGGGGCTGGCAAAACACAGCCCAGCGGCCAAGTCTGGCTGCCACTTAACTAAATAAAGCTTTATTGGAACATAGTCATGACCAGCTGTTTATATATTGTTTGTGGCAGAAGAAGTATTGTCTACACTACTTTTCATGCTCCAGTGGCAGAGTTGAGTAATTGCAGCAAAGAGGCTGGGCCTACAAACTTAGGTTATGTACTCTCTGGGTCCTTATAGAAAATGTTTGGTGACCCTTGCTCTAATCTCTCTAGCTGCCATTTGAATGAGTATATGAGTTGGGGTTCACAGTCCTTTCATTGCATAGGGGACCTGTAAAGAAAGGGTGATGGTATTTCAGCCAGGTGAATGATCTGCAGGAAACCTCAACCTCTACAGACATTGCATTGAAGTAGCTACACTGGCCACTGCATGCTGGAACAGATACGTGTTTAGCTGAAATGTGAAACTGGGATTTTTCATGGGTCAAAACCACTTGAATTTCGGCAGTCCTCTGCAGTTCAACCTAATAATCTCTCTATGGCTCTATCGTACTTTTCCTAAGCCCTCTGGCAGATGTCAGGAGAATCTGCCGTCCCAGGGAGGGATCCAGTGATCTAGAACGCTCAGGATTGCTGCATCCTCACCCCGCATGTCCCGTTTTTGGTGTTTCCATCTCCTTTCAGTTAGTTGTGACACAAATGCACATCTGTCCAAGAACATGTTCACAAGAGTGAGGCCATCCTAGTTCTTGAAGGAAATTTTATATCGTCAAGGCAGTTGCTTCGTTTGGGGAGGAAGAAGCAGATCTGGTGTCCAGTGTCCCTAATGTTGCTCCTGCTGTGGGTTCCCATGTTCTGTCTGGTGAGACAGTCGTGTGCTCACATGGGCTACATCTGCTCCCACCCTGTGTAGCTACCAGGCTGTGGTGAGATGGCTTATCCAAGGTCCGTTATTTGCTAATCAAATCCCACACAGTGAACATGGGTGTGCTCTTTTCATTCATCTATAGCCCAATCGAATTGCTACAAAGGCTGAACTTTCCCTTGGCCACTGTGGGTAGAGTTTTGGTCAATTCCTCAAATCTTTGCATTTCCGAAAGTAGAAGGTGATTTTGCAGGTACTATAAATAACAAAACATTTGTATACAAATTACAGTGGAGGTATATATTTTGTATACAAAATATTTATTATATATATTTTTATTATTTTATATTATTTTATTATTCTTATATTTATATTATTCATATATATATTTTGATATAAAAATAAATATTGTATATACCAATACATATAGGTCAAACCCTTCTAGGGTACTTGATGTCAAACAAGCAGATAAATAAGTGTCCTCGATGGTGCAGGAGAAAGAACACCGGGTTCAAGAGCTAGATTTCCTGGGTTCCGATCCTGACTCCACCATGTAAAAGCTGTGCAACCTTGAATGTAGCTCTGAGTCTCTAGATTAGAGATTAACTCAAGTGAAAATTGAGAGTTGAGATCCCTCCTATTATAGAAATTCAGGGGTCATGCACTTGAGGGTTTACTTTAATTGCCCCTCCCCAAACCAGTTTTTAAAGAAGGTATTCAAATAAAAATTATCTGTGAATTTCATATCACAAATAATTGGCAGTAGAAAATAGTATTATTTAATCAGTTAGTATTTTAGACCGAATTGACTGAATGAAATTAACCACCAGATCACAGAAGACCTTAAAGATATGTGGAAAGGAAAATAAAATCTCTGTGATGGTAACTGATATATTAGGGTGCTCCTTGCCAGTTTTTCCAAGATATTCCCTATCTATGTTCTGTTGTTCCAACATATTTATTATCAGTGATCCCTTTCACTTTTAAAATTGTTCCAGTTAACATGATAAATTGTGTGGTCACATGAAATACAATCCAAGTAGAAACTGAGGTTAAATTCTTAAGTATCTTTATGATTAAAATTTAAGGCCCATAATTATTGAATAATGTTGACTTATGTTTATTAGAAAATAAATGTTGCCATACATCATACCTCACTATCACTGTAGAGGCACAGAAAAGATGACTGAAAATAAGTGCAATTGGCCCAAGATCACCGGTCTGAGTGTCACAGTTGGAGTATAGAGTTACTCCACAATACTGCAATATCGTTCTGATGATTAGTCTACATTTACTTCCTTCCTTTGAAAAGCAAAAATTGCTTTGGACTTGCTAAGAGTAATAGGGCCATTGTATTTTTTTAGTGGCCCCAGACAAACCCAGCAGAAGCAATCCCTGTGTCCTTTGTTACCTCGGGGATTAACAGCTCTCTAGAAGAGACATCATGTTTCTTTCCTGCTTCCTTAAACTGGAAAGACGACCTGGGAAGATTTATATTTATGATATAAATGGTAGGCATTGCCTTTCTGCTTTGTCTACATTTTCTTCTTGACATTGTCCCAAATCAACCAAGTGAAGGGACCAGTACAAGTTAAGGGGAACAAAACTGTGTGCCAAGTTAGGATTACCGGAACTCTCCAAGACTCTTAACACCTTTACATAAATATCATTAAAGGGTTAGAATGTTTTAGCAGGCTTCATCCTGCTAGACTGATTTTCTTGTTATCAGTTGTTCATAAACTGGACTAACTTTGGAAGCTGGTTTGTAAGATCCCGGAGCTGGTTGGGTGGGAATGAGCACAGCATGTGTCCCGGCGTGTGCAGGCGTGTGCATGTGTGCATGCATATGTGCATGTGGCAGGCATGAGTGTGCGCATGGTACTCGCTCCTTCTCCCTGCAGCATTCTCCTGTGCCCAGAGTTGGTGACTGGCCTGTCTTTCTCTTCAGTTCCATAATAAGGTGACCTGCTTCATGCTGCATCACATTGAAGAACCCTGCTCCTTGGGGGCTCACGCTGCTGTGATTGTCCCACCCACCTGGATCATTAAGGTGAAGAAACCTCAGGTAACTGCCAGGACCCTGGTGCTGCTGGGCCGGGGCAGGGAAAAATTACCTGCTGCTTCTTGCTTTCTTGCCCTGACTAGTCTTTGGGTTCCTGTGACTTCTGTTCACTCAACCCCAAGGCCCTGTATGGCCGATCACTTTACTGCATTGGGCTCTCTCATGGAAGCAGAAATCCAGTGCTCAAGCAGGAATGTGGCCTCCTCATTCATGTGCTAAGATAGTTCTCTTTGAGTTTTCCCATGTTTTATGGAGTACTAGCACAGATATGACTGGTACAGCGGATACGTATACAACTCTCTTCTCTTCCAGCCTGGGCCTTCCCAGGGCGTCAGTATGAGGGCAAACTCTGCAGGCTTCCTTGTTTAGTTACATGACTGCCACTTCCAACCTGAAGTGGGCATGATTTCTTAATACACAAGGCCTGTTTAGAGAGCAGCATTCTTTTCTAAAGGCAAAGTACAGTTTGTTTTCTTAATAGCTAATCTCGTTCTGTGTTCTCCTCAGTGTGCTTCCTGTCTTAATGAGTCTCTGCCTCAATAGTCTGGGAAACCTTGGTGGTTTCTCAACAAAGTCATCATCTAGGATAGAAAACGTTTCTGCTTTTGTCCTATACAGTTAGCTCCAAGTTAACTTTGGCAGTTTTTTTATGCTATGAGGAAAGACATTGTATCTCCCCTAGGGCACAGGTACTTTAGCAGGATTTATCAAATGTAAATCCTGCTTTAAAAGATAAGATGGTCCTCCTTCCTGTGGTCTCCAGAGTCATCAGGCAATTCATTCTCATTGACTTGGTTTTGTTTAAAGAACGTGGCTCAGGGATACAGTTTTACTCAGTGTGTTTTATTAATATATAAAGTTTAGCCTCTGTTTAGGAATAGCCTTTCTAAGTTACAATCTATGGAAGCCCTTGGGATATTTCTGCCAGAGGCAAATACAGTACCCACATGTTAAAAAGTGGGGAGTCGAGCCCTTCCTCCAATGCCAAGAAATGTTAAGTGAGTTGCCCAAGGTGACAAAGCAAATTAACCTAGTATTGCTCTCTGGAACTCGAGCGTACTGATTTGCAATTTTTATTTTTTGAATTTCTTTAGCACTCTTACTTTTTTATTTTTTACTAAAATTAATAATCTCTTTCCATGTACTGAATGTTCACTCAGTTAACTCAACACTTTTTCATTGAAACCCAGATTGTATCAGGAAGGCTACTAGGCATTGTGATAAAATACATGATCTTTGCTATGAAGAGCCATGTGTTGTTGTAAGGAGAGATCTTAAGGGGAAACTCCATGAAGGAGGTATGTTTTATTCTATTTTCTAAAGAAGGGTGGGATATAGATCAACAGAGAAGGGAGAATAGTAGGCAGGAGATAGCCATACCAACTGAGGGTACTGCGTCCGAGATTGCACCCCTGGGACCATGTGACCAGTTTGACTGAAGGGCAAAGTTTATGTAGAAGTCACATAGGAGAGAAACTAATGGTTGCTTGGGCCTGGCAGCAGAGGTATTTTTGATACATATAAACTTTGTCCTGAAGTAGCAGGTTTCCTTTCAAGCAAGGGGCCGTTAGAGTTAAAAACAGACCTTTAGAAAGAGACTGCTAGGAAGAGTATGTAGGAGGACCTAGTGATTTGGGATTTTGCAAGTCTGGAGACACCACCTGTTAGGAATATCAAGTGAGATGCCTCTTTGCAGGGAAATTGATATTGTTTACTTTTTTAAAACCTTCAGCTTTTTGTTACGGCAGTGTTCACGCAAATGAAGGAAGAGAAAGGATTATAATGAATTCTGTAACCATCAGCTTTCTGCCATTTTTGCTTTATCTGTCCTCTGCCACACTGTTTTCTTTTTACTAATTCAGCTTTTTATGTTGAGATTCACATACATCTGTAAGAAATAATACAGAGGAATCCCTCATACCCTTTACTGAGTTTCCCCTTGTGGTAATGGCACTCTTTGTTACAGTACAATATCGCAACCAAGATCCTGACATTGATTCAGTCAGGATACAGAACACCTTGTCCCCACCAGGATTCCTCATAGTACCTATTGATAGCCCCATCCCATTCTTCCTGCACCCATCTCATCTACCCCTATTCCTGGAAGTGGAAGCTTCCTCCTTCCTTTAATTTATTTTGCTAGAGTATTTTAATGCGAATCTTAGCATATTACTTAATTGGTAAATACTTCATTTGCTTCTCTAAAAGATAATAACATTAAAAAGAACAAAACACATACCATTTTCTTACCCATGAAAATTAATGATTTGTTAAAAGCATATGTGTATACTTCTCAAATATATGTCTTTTTTCCTAGTTCTAAAATGAAGACCCAACACCCACAACTGCCTTTTGTTGACTTATCCCTTTAAGTCTCCTTTAATGCATACCATTACGCCCTCTTATTTTTCAGTTTTTCATGTCATTTATTTGTCAAATAAATTGAGTCACTTTACCTGTGACTTTTCATATTTTGATTTTGACTGATGTATCTTTATGGTAGTTTACAATGATTTCCCTTATTGCCCATATTTCTTGTACACTAATACTTAAATACAGGGACTTGGTAAGAGTCAGGTCTAACTTTCTGGTAAAAGAGGCCCTGTGTACTTCTAGGAGGCTGCCATCACAGGAACGCGAACGGCATCAGTTGTCTCACTCTTAGTAACGTTAGGATTAGTCAGGGGGTTGGCAAACGTCACCCTAATCTACGTATAACATTCTTTGTAGTCTTTTACCTATTGCATTACTCATTAAGGATTATTGCTGAAATCCATTATTTCAGTAGGGATAGCCAAAAAGTGGTTTTCCAGTTTTGTTTTTTCACTTTTTAGCTATGATTTTTCTATAAAGAGACTGCTCCCTTATCACTAACAAATACCTAATAAATGTTTGCATTTTGTCCTTTGTAAATTTTTAAAATAATATACTGATGCCTTAGCAAATTTTATAGGTGGCTAAGAATCATGGTCGTGGTTGTCTTTTTGGACAATATCATTACGAGATGACATAATTATGATTTGTATATATATGATTTATTCATGGCCATCATTATTCCTCTAACGTTCTTATTGTTGCATTTTTGACCAGTTGGAAGCACTTCTAGGTGACTCCTGTCTCCCTTTGTCATGAGGCACAAAGTTTTTGTTAGCTTTCTTGGTCTTAGCTATGACACCATGTCCCAAGATGGTCTTGTGTCTTGTGCATTTCCTATTCACACCTGGAATTAGCCGTTTCTCTGAGGAGTCTCGGTGCCTTTTAACAAGAGATGGTATTTACAGTTCATAGTCAGGATGCAAAGTCCAGATTCATCATCCAGCATGCACCTTTGTGTTGTCTTCTGTGATTCAGGACACTGTACTAGCAGTAAGAAGAAGAGCTAACATTCCTCAGATGACTTTTATATGTGTTAGGAAAATTCAAAAAACTTTACATTCAGTATCTCATTTTGTCATCATCGTACCCTATAAAAGTTGTTCTTTTATTTCTACTCTACAGCTGAGGAATGTAAGGCATGGAGAAGTCAAATATTTTGCAAACTATCCCTGTCTTCTGACTTTCCCATTAATCTCAAAGGGCTTTTATAGTCTGCTAGGAAGAACATGAAATGAATATTCCATCCTCTTTCCTGAATAGGGTCCATTGTGGCCTCCTAGTACTGAACTGGAATCATCTGGCTCCTTTGAAAGAAAGACATTACTTAATCTTTTAGTTTATTATTTAGCTCATAATAACATGACTAATACATAAACATTCTCCTCTCAAAAATTTGATTTTTCATATAAGACAACATTCCTTTACCAATGCTTAAAACTATACCAGTCTGGGTAAGGGATAAAAACTTACCTATCAGGTATAGTGTACACAACTCTGCTAAGTGGGCACACTAAAATCCCTGAATTCAGCATTATGCAATCCACTCACCCCCTTAATATTACGAAATAGAAAAACAAACAACTAAATAAACAAAACTATAAGCATCTTCCTTGTCTCTTCCGTTATATATATATACAGAGTTTTTACTATACATAGAAACGTACCCATAGAAAAGATGTAGAACCTTTTCTAGAGGTCTAGAAAATTTCGACTATTTTTTAAATGGTATCATTCTTCACATAATACTTTAAAATTTGCCTTTCCTAGATTAAAGAAAAAGAATCTTGAGGAAAAATCTATATTAGTATATATAGACTTAATTCATTTTAATTTGCTATATATAGCTCATACTATGGATAGATCACAGTTAACTTACCCATCTCCCTACTGCTAGATATTTATATTGTGTCTGATGTTCTACTTATAAATAATGCTGTTTTTATTCCTTCCTATCTACGTATAGGTTTTTTTCATTATAGTTCTTTTGGGTGTGTGTGTTTCTTTTACAATTGGACAATCTTCTTAAGATGCTGGAACTCAGGAATTATAATAGCTAATTTTGTGCAGTGACCAAAAATATCCTGTAGATTATCCTCAAAATTGGCCAAGCCATTTCTTTTGGTGAGTTCTAAAATTTAATTAATACTTGTTGTGATTTAGCCAAACATGGCACATATGCCTGGTTGGAGTTGTTGAGTCCTTGTCCTTAACTTTTGCAAAGAATTTTCGTTACTTTTTTGCCTGTTCATCCTCAAAACAACCTTTTCTCCAGTGGTGCAATGGAGGCAGAGAAGAGTGAGAGTGTTCTTAATAGACCAAGTCCCTGACTCTCTCTTCTATTATCTATCAAGAGTTCTGTCCAGTATATGATGGGGGAAGACTTTATTTGAGATGAAAAAGTGACACTTCTCTTGAGATCTGTTATTACAACTAGTCATTTGTGATCTCATAACCTGGGAAAATCTCTGAAGAGGAATAAGAGATAGTGAAGTTTCATTCACAGTTGGGTTATTCACCTAAAAGTAGTTCTTAACAGCCCAGGAAGGAGTCATAATTATGATGAGGATTTTGTTGATAGGATTATTTCTGTGGTGAGATAAGATTGCCCTGATGCCTGGCACAAGAAAACAGGAAGGCTTTATCTCTTCTTAGATCTTTAACAAAAGTGAACACAGAATGTCTACAGGGTGACTGCTGTTGGAATCAAGAATGTAAAAACCCAAATAAGGGTATAACATTTCAGTGTTTCAATCCTTTGCAAGGTCTTGATCTTGCAAAGTGAACCCTTTGTGTCACTGAGTTAGTTGCCCTTGATAAAACAGAGACACTTTGTTTTGGAACATAAGACAAGTGTTAAAGCTTTCTCGAACGTATCACGAGCAATGTTGCATAATGACTTCTTGGTGTAATTTTTACATTCTTGAAAGTCACTCTGTTTTCTTCAATTCTCCCAACATTACTGACCCAGGCATGGCAAGCGATACTGTAGATCAATGAGAGTAGATGATTTATTTTGTCATGGTTAAATCACATCCCAAATCTTCCTTCATACTCATCTGCTCCTAACTAAATGGTATGCTGCCTTCTAAATGAGGTTCTTTATGTAGACACAGATACACATTTAGACCTAAATAGAAGAGAGTCTTGGGAATTTCGAGGTGCACTGGGAAATTCCACACTGTTTATCTTTTGCTGTTTGCCTATCCGTAGGGCTGTAAGCTTACTCAGAGCTCACATAGAAGCACCCAGGTACTGTAAGTCAACCACTGGGCTTGGTCTTTGCCCACTTCTTGTTCTGTGAAGTGAAGAAGGCCTCAGATGCATTTGGCTCGGTGAGGTTCAGAAGCACTTGTATTTGCTACTTGTGTGTTAAACAAAGGCTGTTTTGTGTGCGTGTGTTCCCTATACAAGTTGAGTTCCTTGCCTGCTCTGCTTTCAGACATTAAGCCTTATTTTGATGTGTTTTTTCAACTCTGTGTTCCCCAGATGTGCTTGGTAATTAAAATCACCTGAAATACTGTGAGTTCTCTGATTAGAGAAGTTTAAGAAATGATCTTAGCCTTGTGCAGTAGGCCTGCCTCTTGCAGTTAAATTATTGAGTTCCATCAAGCACCAAGGCCCATAGTATATTCCTGCAAGTACTTGGCATTCTGCATAACTCTTGGCAGTAAATGAGGCAAAACTATAAAGAAGTTAGGGGGCAAGCATTCACTTCCTAAGGATTTTTTTTTTTTTTTTTTTACAAAACCAGGAGAGACTCAATAAGTGTTGTGAATTATAATAATATTTATTTGTCATTTCAACAATGATCTGAGTGCATACTGTGTACCAGGCATTTGTGGTAGGTGTGGGGGATGGGTATGCAGCTAAGAATGAGGCAACTAACATTGATTGAAGTGCTTATCAGGAGATGGATACCAATGTAACTGCTTCATATAACTTTCCTCCTTTAAACTTCACAACTATCCTGTGAGGTAGGTATTATCACCTTCATTTTAAATTTCAGAAACTGTTATATCAAAGTTTGACTGATTGGGTCAAGATCACAGATCTAATAACAAGGATATTCAGAATTTATCCCGGACTCTTTTCCCTGGATCTTCTGCTTATATGTCTCCTCACTTGATTCTTTTTCCTTTAAACAAAGGTTCTCAGCCCTGGTTACATCATAGAATTGTCTGGGGAGCTTTTATAAAGTAACCTTGCTGGGCTTCACCCCAAACAGATTAAAGAAGAATATTTGATGGGGCCCAGACACGTGCATTTCTAGAAAGCTCTTTGGTGATGCCAAAGTGCAGTGATGGTTAAAGGCCATTTACAGCATCATTCATTAATACCAAATAGATGTTGCTGTGGCCAGCATAGCAGTTTTTCCCAGCATTCTTCTTGGACTCTATTTGGCTGATTACATTCAAAAGATTCCACATCATTTTTCTTTCCTTTTAAACTAACTGACATTTGTCAAAATATAACAAATCCTTTTATAATCTAAAATTTTTGTCAGTGAGGGACATGATACAAGATCCATTGAACCAGGAAGTCAGAAACTTGGAGATCTATTTTCAGGAGAAGAATAATCAACAGGGAGTGATGAGGAATCTCCAGAGGTCTAAAGCACCCATGATCTTCTAGCTCTCTCTTTTACTGGTGAAACTCTGTGATTCTGAAGGTACTTTTTGTTAACCCGATGGGAGAAGAAAAATCATGGGACGTATGTGGTACTTGAAAGTTTCCTTCCTCTGTGGTAAACACAGGTCACAAATAAATCAACTTACTTTATTCCAAACCCAAGTCAAAGAAAAAATAAAAGCTGAATAATTTCTATCTTGCTAATGTAAATGTACTACTATATGTATTTTAAAGTTTCTTTTGAATGTTCTAAGAAAAAAAGAGTACTCTTAAATTAAAAGTAGAAGAATAGATTCTCTAAATTTCTTTCAGCTGCTTGTAAACCTTTTAAACTACTCAAGCAATGCATATGTATATACTGCCATATACCTTTAAGAATTCTGCATTTCAGGCTTTTAACACTTCATTGAACAACTGCTATGTGGTCAGTAATACTTTGGCTTTGTAAAGATGGTAGTCTAATTACTGATTGACTAATTAAATCTGTTTTTGCCTTTTTGTTCAACCAGTGAGTTTGACTGATGTGTTAGATAGATTCTTCTCAAAACATCTATGTTAAATATTAATAGTAAATGGTTGGGTGAAGTAATCCCAAAGTTGTGGTCCATAAAATTTCTAGAAAGAGGAAGACAGGGAAAGTAAATTTGGGGTTGCTATATTTTGACAACTTTGAGGCATTTCTATGAGAAGGAAAAAAGTCAAAAGTTATCAGGGGAGGGAAAATTTTAAACCAGTGGGTCTTTAGACAGATAAAGAAAGAGCAAAGCCCTCTACCCCACTATCATAGCTAACTGAAGGTGAGTATTATATCTCTGTATTTTAAAAGTCAGACATCAAGGCTGAGAAAACATCACAAATTTCCACTTGGGTTGATAAGGAGTCATTTTATGACTATTAGTAGACAGATCATGAAAAGAAGTAAACAGAGAAAAGCAAAGAAAAAGGAAAACATGAAAAATGGCCTCCTTTTTTACATTTTCACATAGGTGATCTCCATACCAGGAGATGAACTTGAACTTGGTTGGGCGGGAGACGGACCTGGTTGGGCGGGAGACTGGAGCCCCTCAGAGAATTTGGGATTCTTCCATTTTTACTGGGAGGGTTGGCAGGTATAACATGTGTTGTCATGTGAGTCCATGAGAGCCTCTGGGGTTCTAACTCCCCACCTCCCCGTGTGGTGGAGAGGCAGCTGCTCACTCTGAAGCACTCGACTGATTTCTGTCTGTGGCTTACCCATGAACAGTGGCTTGGAAGTGTCAAAGCATGAGAGCATGCGGTTGAACAGCATGTGCTGCCGTCATCTCCTAATGGGTCTGCATGGGAGAACCCGTGGGCTGGCTGCCTTTGAGCTCAGGCATTTCCTTCTTTACCTACAGAACTCCCTGAAGGCTTCAAATCGGAAGAAGAAGAGAACAAGCTTTAAAAGAAAAGTCAGTAAAAGAGGAACGGAAGTAAGTGTTTCAGATTTTCTTTCCATGGCCTACTCTGTCCCACATAATCTGGCCCCAGCTTAGTCAGAAAGCTCTATCTCCTATCCCTCTGTTTTCCTTTACTACACTCTAACTTCACTGGAACTCTTACTGTTCCTTAAAACAAAACAAAATAAACAAACTTCCAAAACTCTAACCTCTCTACTTGGTGGGAAATGTTATCCCAAAGATGATGATGATGATGAAGATGAATGCTAACATTTCTGGAATGTTTAGAATACACACTAAGAGTGAAAGCATGGCCTAATTCTTGGAAGCAAATTATAATTTGAGATAGTTTGTGCCAAGTTTTACATAGAAAGGCCTACTGAGAATCAGCCCTGTGAGACAAGTCGGAGGGTTTTTTAGGTGGTGGTAACAGTGGTGGTCTCCCATTTCCTTTGCCTTGGGGCTGCCTCCCAAGCCGTGGATGTGTTGTCCTAACAGTGCTGCTTGCTTCTTTCAGCAGGAAAACAAAGGTCGTCCTTTTGTGATAAAACCTATCTCTTCTCCTCTCATGAAACCCTTGCTTGTATTTGTGAACCCTAAGAGTGGAGGTAACCAGGTGAGTCGGTTTTCATAAGTTTAACTCAGAAGTTTCAATGATTTCTTGAAACACAATTCCAAATGCCAATTAAAGTAGCACCATCATGACCCCTAGCATTGGAAGACAACTACTTGCTCAAGGACAAGGTTATTGTTGCTCCGTTAGGGGACAGTCTCACACATTACAGGACTAGGCAAAACCTACAGGTTCTGTGATTTATCCTTCCACTTCCACATAAAACAGAGGCACTGCAAAAACCCGACTACTGACATTTGCCTTACGGATTTTCAAGAGAGATCTTTCCAGAATTTCTCTTAGTACATTTCAGGGTTTCTCAATTCTTATAGTTAGGAAGACCTTTACAAATGTATCTTTATTTTTTCCTATTGCATTTTAGATGCCAACTACCTTTGGTCCCTGTCCTTAGGGAAAAGAGAGAACAGAGACTCATCAGTCATGATAATTGCTAACAAATACCACCATTGCCATACAAGTATCATCTTCTAAAGTTTCCTATAAGTCCTTGCCCAAATATTACACTATAGTTATTATTCATCTCACTTAAGAATAAACAGATAAGTTAGAAAAGTTAGGTTTAATGGCACACTGCTCCTTAGAGGACAGAATTTGTTCTAGAATCCCCATCTTTGTCTCCCTTCTTTCAATCTCCTTCCCACTCCCTGCACCTTCTTATCCATACTCTTCTGTGGACTTTGATCTTCTGTGGTTTTTATGTGAGTTTGGATGAGACAATACTTTGTCTATTAAGTGTACATTTTACAATTTGAGACAAGATTCCTTGAAGTTTCACAACGAACAACTGGATATTTGAAACTCTACAGTCACCAGGTATCAAGACAGGAGTCATATAAATAGGCCTGACAACAATTGTCCAAAATGATGCTCTTATAGCTAAAGAGAAAAGGCATCGTCCAGAATGTATCATTACAATAAAGCTGCTCTTATGGGGGATGATGATTTAAAGGAACTATTCTTCCTTGTTTTCTTTTTCTTCAAAATTCTTGATAACTTGCTGTGTTAGAAATCTGTATTAACAATCTAGAGAACAAAGGAAAGAAACGCGTGGTGAGTGAAGAATCCATTTCTTTTCAATGTCCTGCATTTCTAAGTTGTTGAGTGATGATCTTTATATTGTAACGATGATGATCCCCAGACTGTCACTGGAGGAGGACCTATGCATGGGTTTCTTTGGAGTGAAGTTTACTTTGCACTGAACCACATTTACTCTCTTGGGCTGCATCCCTCGAACCTATCAAGGCTTCGGGATGTGTTTGGGAGCCATGGAACAGAGTCAAGGAAACATTCTGGGTTCCATGATTTCAGTCACCTGAGCACCATGTACTAATAACAAATAAATTTTATCTTGAAAGTCCACATATTCTTCTGAGCAAAGTATCACAAGAATGGTGGAAAAAGTATCCAATGTACACACCCCTATTATGAAACTAATTTATACCTTTTATATGAAAGCTATAAACAAATAGCCTAAGAATATGGGGAGGGAGGAGGGAAAAGGGGGGGAATGGGTGGAGGGAGGGGGTTTGGAGGGATTACTTCTGAGGTTTATCTTATAGGGGTACAGGTGAATCTTTCTAAGAGTAGAATGTGAACGTTTTAAAGCAATAACAGAAAATGACATGAAGGCTGTGTTACCAGTTTGATGGAAGTATTTCAGATTGCATGTGAAAACCCCACACTGTACCCCAGAAGTGCATTAATGTACATAGTTACCATTCAATAAAAAAAAAAAGCAGAAAACAAAGGAAAAAAAAAGAAAGTCCACATATTCAATGCATTTATTAAATCATGATAAACTTTCCCCCCTAGGGCACACAGAAGCTTGTAAGCTCTCTCTGCCTTTAAGGAGCTGACAATCCAGTTAAGATCTAGCCTGTTCTTGCTCCAATCTTTGTATAAATTGTTAATGACAGGGACTTCAGAAGTTATATGTTGTTGTCTATTGCACTAAATAGAAAACAGGTCAAGGAAACTTAAGCGATAATTCTAAGGACATCTTCTTAATGACATAAAAAGGGGAAATGGAAAAAGAAGGATCATTAGCTGCATGTGAGTTCTAAATCGAGTGGCTTAGGCTGCAAGTGCTGTGGGATTTCAGAGGCCAATAGTGACTTGGGGTAGTAAGGAAATGATGTCACAGAGTGGCTGAGGTGGCTGAAATTGAAGATAGACACTATTCATGTGTCAGAGGAGGTAACACTGGAGGAATGTCTGTTTCCTTCTTTCTACCAGGGAAAACTCTTGTTCATCCTTCAAGGCTTAGTAGCACCTTTCTGGTGCATCAGCCTGGCCACCATGCTTCTAAGCCCTCGGTACACACTTGCGTTATGTGAACTGCAGGATTACAGCTGGTATGTGTCTGCGCTCTTAGCATATAGGTGCACCTGGGAATCTGTGATTTCTAGGACTTGGCATGTAGTTAAATAATTGTGGAATAAATTGTATGCATAGAAGAATAGGTCTGTTATGCAAATTACTCATTTTGAGGACAATACAGTGAGTGGAGCACCCTATTAGGCTATTGGAAATGTGAGTAGATATAGACTAGAATGATCCTATGGAATAAAGTCTTAAAACAAGAGTGTCCAATCTGTGGCCTGTGAGTTTCCACTATACTTCATCTTAGCCAAAAGGCCAAGAAGTGATGGCCTGTGAGTCTCATGCAGATTATTTGAGGCCTGTTTTGCTTATGTCATTCAGATATTGTGGAAATCATGCACTCAGCTTTCATTAGTCTATTTGGTTTTGATATGTGGCCCAAGACAACTCTTTTTCTTCCAATATATGGTAGGAATAAAAGGTCGACTTAAAATCTTTGGATGTCTAAGGTTGAGGATCTTGTGTTTGTGCAATGGAAACTAGGCCTTTGCTATTTAAAGTGTTTCAGTTTTAAAAACCATTTGGCTTATGAAGAGAGGAGTAATATGAGTGAATTTAATGTGAATGTGATTTGCTTGGGGATCCTGTTAAAATGCAGATTCTGCATCAGTAAGTTGGGGGTGGCCCTGAGATGCTATATTTCTAACAGGCTTGCAGGTGATGCTTTACTGCTGCTCAAAGGACCACACTGATTAGCAAGGGCTGACTGTGATCAACAGAGAAATGTTTTTTTGTTTCTTAAATCCTGAGTTTTGTCTTCTAATACTTCACTTGTTCCACTCATCTGCTTTTAGTTATAAAGCACTCCCATTTCTTTCCCTCTTTGAAACTTAGGCTTTAAACTTTTTTTTTTTTTTTTGGAAACTTCCTTAGGCTCCTGTTCTTTAAAATTATTAAGCAATATCGCCATCTGTCGACAAGAAAAGTAGCTGTCACTATTTTCTTCCTATTTTATGTGGAAGGAAAATTGTTCACATTTTGAATATATTTACTGGGATGAACATATACAAAAAATACTTCTGTGTATCCTTTTAACCGAGCCTTCATTTTAAAATGTACTTTTTTAAATTAATAAATTTTTATATAATATTTGTACATATTTATGGGGTACATGCGTTGTTTTTTTTTTTTTTTTTGAGACAGTTTCACTCTCCCTGAGTAGAGTGCTGTGTGCTCCCTCATAGCAACCTCCAACTCTCTGGCTTAAGTGACTGTTTTGCCTCAGCCTCCTCACAAGCTGGGACTATGGGCACCTGCCATAATGCCCCACTTTTTTTTTTTTTTTGCAGTTGTCATTGCTGTTTTTTTTTAGGCGGCCTGGGGCTGAGTTTGAACCCTCCACCCTCAGTATATGGGGCCGGCACCTTACCCACTGAGCCACAGGTGCTGCCCACATGTGATATTTTTATACACATATAATGTGTAAAGTTCAAACCAAGGTTTTTGGGCTATCTGTCAACTCAAGCATTTATCATCTCCTTGTGGTGGGAACAATTTCAAATCTTCCCTCCCTTCTAGCTAGTTTGAGATGTGGAATATACTGTTGTTAACTATTGTCAACATACTATTTAATGCTAGGACATCTTTCTTCTGTCTACCTATGAGTATGTACCCATTAACTAAACTCCTTTTGTCACTCCCATGGATCTACAGCCCTCCCAGACTCTGGTAACTATATACGCTGTACCTTTATGAGATCAACTTTTTTAGCTCCCATCTATGAGTAAGAATATGTAATATTTGTCTTTCTGTGCCTGGCTTATTTCATTTAACATAATGACCTCCGGTTCTATCCATGTTGCTGCAAATGTGAGGGTCTCATTCTATTTTATTGCCAAATAGTATTCTATTGCATATGTATACAGGTTATTTATCTATGGATGGATACTTAGGTTGTAAAATCTCTTCTTTTAAACTTGCAATAATTATCTCTTTGTTTTTCCAACACTCTTGAGGTAGAGATGACACTGGCTGTTTGCAAAGCTTTAGAGGTTGGTAGTGCTGCTGTGATTATTTGGGTCTGCTTTCTTTGAGGAATTAGGCATGGGAATCAGGGACCAACATTTCAGCTTTGAGCATCTCCTTCTGTGGAAAGAGGGTGAGTGGAAGACAAGGTTTATCCTGACACCATCCCTTCCTCTGTTAGGGAAACTTTTGAGGGCTAGAGAAATAGGCCCCTCCCTTACACTTCTATACACGTTGACTTCACAACCTATTTCTTTTTTCTTGATGGCTCAAACTCACTAGCATCTTCCTGAGTCTTGTAACTCTTCTGGTATCTCACAATGTTTTCCGCTTTCACATTCTCTCTCCCCTGTGCTCTCGAATGACTTTCTCTTCTAGTGACTTAGATTTTACAACTTTAGGGCTAACTGGATGTTCCGACCACTAAAATGATTCCTGAGAGTTGAAGGTTCTGGAGCCTGGCTCCTCTCACTGCTCAATGTGGGATCTCAGGGTAGAAGTGTGGCTGGATCCTTGCATCAGAGCTCCCGGGGTCCTGTCAGTAGAATGATCTAGAAAAGGGGTGTCTGGTCTGTGGACAGACTCATGCTGACAGTTTGTGACACTGAGAACAGGCTTTCCCAGACCAGGGCCACCCCTCCAAAATCAGGGGCCCGTCATACCAAGGTGGGGACAAGGGGAAGACAAAAAGAGTAAACAGCTTCAAATGAAGAAATGGAGTCTCCAATGTTTCCACATACTTGAACAAACAACCTTAATGAAGAAGTGATATATTTGCCATGCTGGAGACTTTTCAACCCAGGGATAAATCAAGAATCATCATGTTTAGATAAAAATTCAGGAGTCCTCTAACATTTGGAGTAGGCAGGAAAGAGGATGGAGGTACAGACTGTAAGTAGATGAGGGTGCGTGTCAAAGCCACTCTCAAGATCTTCTTGTCCAGCTGCCTCAACAGATGGAATTAAAACAACCACATGATGGATCTCTGGAAAGTCCTGTTTCCCAAATTATAGCACTGGTAGGAGGTTGAGTGGCTTCGACCTAAACCAGCTCCTTTGATAGGGCTGGTTCCTTAGTCTGTAGGCAGAGTAACATTATCTGATGTTACTAAGAACATCAGTTTGAAAAAAGAAGTCAAACTTACTCTCCTAATTGAAACATTTCAGTGATTCCTCATGTCCTGCAAAGTAAGGCCCACTCTCCTCAGTGGATATGACTTAGTTTACAGCTCACCTCAGCCATTTATTTTCTTTTCTACCGTTCCCTGCCTCATGGTTCAGAAAACTGATTGGAAGGCAGCTTTTCCCTGGTATGTCTCTGGTTTCACATCTGTTATGCCTTTACCCTGAATCAACTTCTTTACCTTCCTGTGGCAAGAGATGGTTAACTTGACCCATCTTTTGAGACATAGATCAGATATCATTCTTAGGGGGCCTTCATCTAATCTCCAGATGTGGGCATAATTAGAGTATCTTGCTGGGCGCCTATGCTTCACAGCAGACATCTCTATCAGAGCACTGACCATCTCTATCAGAGCTAATTTATTCCTTATTGGTCTCCCTCCAGCAGATTCTGAACTCCTGCCTGCACATGTGGGAGCAGAATAGGAACCTGATACGTATTTATTGAATAAATCAGGTATTCATTTGGGATTGTTTGGAACCAGTTGGAAATAATTATTTCTTAAACTTTTACTCCCATTAACTTGTTTTCCTCAGGCCTTTCTTATTATCTGGCAAGCTGTTCTTCCCATAATCTAGATAATGCTGGCATAATATGAACCAAAATTTAGTAACATAGCAGAATGTTTCAGCCTACACTAGAGTCTGAATGCTTTGATGAAGATTGATGAGCCATCTGACCTGACCCATTCTTAATTGCCTCTTTATCCCCCTAAATCATTATAATTCTGTTTCCCTTTATGAATAATGCATAGAACTTCCTCTTGAGTGCAAGATCACTTCTGTTTTATTCATCTCTCTACTCCCTCCTAAAACTGTACCTGGCACAAAGCAGGTGAATTAATGAATCTTGCTAATTTCCCTCTAGAATTATCTGCCTGTTTTCTGGGAAGTTGCATTTTACTGTTACATCTTCTCCCTAATACTTAGAACTATAAAGAATAATTTTTTTTTTTTTTTACCTCTTAGTGATATTCAATCTCATCATATCTAAAGAAGTTCTGTGGTTGGGGAGGTGTGACAGCAACAACAGCACGCATGTCTTGTGATTGATGTGGAAGCTATTTTTTTCATCTAGTGAAAACTAGACTCTTGCACAAAAGTTCTGGCTTTTGTGTTTGGCCTACAGCATGTGATTGATACCTATCAGAGTGTGGGGGGTTTGTTAGTGAGTGACAGATGTGTAAAGGATTGGGTAGATTTAATCCTGCCATTGAGAAAGAAACAAATTACCCTTCCCTGGTGAATTAGTATTTGTCAACTCATTCAGTTCTATTTAATAAATTGCCTCTATTAAAGCTTAAAGGAGCTTAACAGAGAGGTGGCAGCAGAGTTAACAGAACTCAGCAAATACGTGAATTAGACCTTTTTCTCTCCACCTACTAGGATTGATTTTAAAAATGCTTTCATTCAACACTTGTCATTTTTGCTAATAAATGTATTTTGGAAAGAAAAATACTTTTTAAAAGAAATAATTATATCATGCCTGAATGTCAGCTCTGATAGGGTAGCCATGCCCACCTGTGCAAGTTATTCCTCCAGCCTGCAATGGAAGTGGCGCCTCTCACAGGTGTGCCGCATACAGCTTACCAGGCTTACTTAACCCCCTTTCTCAAAAAGATCAATTGAGATTATTAGGTATTCCGATGAACAGAAATCGAGAACCAAAACCGTGTGGCCACTTCAAATCTTTTAGGGAAGTTGCAGGTAAGAAAAACAACCTCTTAAGGCAGCGGTTCTCAACCTGTGGGTCGCGACCCCTTTGGGGGTCCAATGACCCTTTCACAGGGGTCGCCTAAATACATCCTGCATATAAGATATTTATATTATGATTCACAACAGTAGAAAAATTATAATTTTGAAGTAGCAAGGAAAATAATTTTATGGTTGGGGGTCACCACAATATGTATTAAAGGTTCACAGCATTAGAAAGGTTGAGAATCACTGTCTTAAGGCTTTTTTTATTTTTTGAAAGATGTTAATTACCTAGTATTATTTGCACTGTAACAGGAGAAGCTGAAATTGAGATGTACACTCTACCAAAGCAAAGGTGGAAAAGAGTACTTAGCATCAACCATTCAAACTGCCTTAGGAATCGAAAGCTGAACAATTCGTTTTTTGGCAAGTCAGTTGGAAATGTTTTATAAATTGGTTGGTTATTTAAATGACTCTTATGTTACCTGTTAAATGTAAAATTATTTGTGATAATACAGAGCACATTTGATAACAAGGCCCAGTGTAAGAAGAAAGAAAATTATCCAGCATTTAGTTAGCATATGTATCTGAACCTAAATTTGATAAAAAGCAAAATATGTTATTCGGTAAAACTGAAGGCTTAGTTGTAATAATTAAGGATATAATGTTATTTCTAAAATTATAGGAAGCACATGATAAGGCAGAACTTTTAAATTATAGGTTTCGATGATCCGTGAAACAAAAGACCTGCATTGGCCTCTGTAACAACTGGCATAACAATGTGATAATTACAAACTACACTTCGTGTTCACACCCTCAAGGGTAATTTAATGAGCAGATTAGCAAGGAGGAAAAGAGGAAAGACTAACATTTATAGAGGTCTGCTCTGTGCCACAACTGTGCTGTCACTGATTTATTTAGTTCTCATAATCACACTACAAGACAGGCATGCCTTCCCTTTTATACACCGTATTCCTGCAAAATCATAAATGCTCATCATTACCCAGCTCAAACACCCAAGTTAGTTCTGAGTCCAACCTCATGCTATTTCTGCTATACTAGGATGCCTCTTAAATACAGCATATTAAATCTACAAACTTAGAAATATTTAAGGAAAAAGCAATCATGATATCTGCTAAAGGAACAATATTATAAGTGACGAACTTTGCTCAACCGATCATAGTATTATGTGCTATAATTGATCCTGCTCAATTTTGAAGCTCTTCTGGTACTGTCAAATAAAAAGATCCCTTCTTTCTTGTTTGTTCAATCCACACTAAGAAGTGATCTCTACAGCTACCTTGTATCTGCCATAATGATCATCTCTATAAATGTCACAGATAGTTAAAATACTCCAAGATTGCTCGTGTGAGAGAGAAGTGTTTGGCTTAAACAAGTCAATATAGACGTGGAGATTGAAAATGTCAAAGTGACCTACTGAGAGAAGTTATGTGTACATAATGACTGGGAGCCTGTGATACTTCTGTTTCATTTACAAAAAATATTTTATTAAAATGATACTTAGCTAATATTGTCCATATCTCATATTTTGTAGAGACAATAATTATCTGCACAATAAAGTGAAAATTAATGTTCAATGACATAGGTGAATAATGCCTTCCTGTGGATTATTATACTTTAAGTAGTGATGGTAAAACCAATAGAGACATTATTCATTAATCACTTATTTCATGTCAAACACTGTGATGTGTTCCTCAAACGTTATTGCTTTTTTTTTTTTTTTTTTTTTTTTTTTTGAGACAGAGCCTCAAGCTGTCCCCCTGGGTAGAGTGCCCTGGCATTACAGCTCACAGCAACCTCCAACTCCTGGGCTCAAGCGAGTCTCCTGCCTCCGCCTCCCAAGTAGCTGGGACCACAGGCGCCTGCCACAACGCCCGGCTATCTTTTGGTTGCAGCCGTCATTGTTGTTTGGCAGGTCCAGGCTGGGGATTCGAACCCGCCACCTTAGGTGCACGTGGCTGGCGCCTTAGCCGGTTGAGCTATAGGCGCCGAGCCAAACGTTATTGCTTTTAATCCTTGCAACAAATCTTTGAATTGGGCATTCTTGTTTTCATACAAAGGTAAAGGTGGGTGGGGGGAATGAGCTTAAATGAAATTAAGAATCTGGCCCAGAGTTATCCAAGTTAGACAAACATTTAACCCAGACACTCACCCTATGTATGTCTATAACCAAAGCCTATGCTTTTTAATTACTTTTTTATACTGTTTATAATTAGGTACTATTTTAGAGAAAAGGATTGTTTGTTTATTTAGCAACAGGGTCTCACTCTGTCACCCAGGCTGCAGATTTTTGATTTTTAAATGAGTAGTTATTACTGGGAAATTTCTTCCTCTTATTGCCATTGTCTTTTCACAGGGAACCAAAGTCCTGCAGATGTTCATGTGGTACCTGAATCCCCGGCAAGTCTTTGATCTTTCTCAGGAAGGGCCAAAAGATGCGTAAGTCTGGAGAGACCCTCCATGGTCCATATGTGTTTTAGGCAAGTGAAAAGAACTTTTCTGCCTTAGGGTCCAGTTTCATTATTGATTCCTTTGCAAAGTTTTTCTGCCCATCTCTCATGTACATTCTCACCTGTACTCTCCTTTTTTAAAAATGTCATCTGATGTTCCCTTCTGCTCTTCACTGGATGAGTCCTCTCCAAAACACTTATCAGTTGAACACTCAGCGAACACTTCTGGTGTGTTTGCTGCTTACGTAGATGCAACTGTAGATTATTCACAGCAGGACTGTGAATTGAGAACAGACGCATTGGTTTTCTATTTGTGCACGCACAACTTTGGAGATACACACTAGCAGGTGTGTGAAGTGTATCCCTATAGAGGGTGGCCATATTTGCTTGTGAACATTTGAGTTTGAAGGTTATGTGCATGTGTGTCAAATATACTGATTGATTGATTATATCTGTGGACTCCAGATCAGTGTGGGAGGAGACATTTTAATTCCTGCTAATCCCTTTTCTGAGCTCAGAAATCTTATTCTCTGTCTTTGTTACGAGTGTTGAAAATAAGGTCTAGAGGTAGGTGACCCATACCCTGTTTCTTCCCTTTGGTGGAGGGGTGTGTAGTAAAACGTGCAGAGATCCGTCTACTGTTGTCTGGCTCCCTGTTTTAAACTCAGATAGTTCAGATGCTATCTGATAAGCATTAGAATATAAGGGATACCAATTATTTTTTAATAAGTAACAACAGCAGAGGCAAAGGAATGTCAACTCAGATAAATTCTGAAGAAGCATTCTTACATAAAATGAATAACTCACGTATTTTAAGCATGCAGGAGAATGGGATATATGAAAATTCGTATCAGTATTCTCTGAATCTATGACTTCCTTTGCCACTAGAGTTTGCTGTAAGACTTCTCTCTCTATTTTTTTTTTCTGTATTTGTACTAAGGCAAATCTCCCTGGGCTTGTGCCCTTTTAGATGCTTCATTTTCTTAAGATTTTATCAGGTTACCTAGACTTTAGGTAGAGACTTCATAGGTTACCATAAAGGACATGGCAGCATAGGAAATATTTTCAGAAAAAAAACCCAGATTATTTGATTTAAATAGAGGATGTTTTCTGGAAGAGCCTTTGAAAACTTCATTCAAGCAAAAGAGCTAGCAGAGGTCAGTGTTACTGCATTTTCTTGAGTTCCAACAGGAAAGATAAAATGACCTAAATTCAAGCAGGCAAATTTGAAATTACAAAAAAAAAAAAAAAGTCCAATGGCTTGGTGCCCATAGCACAGTGGTTACGGTGCCGGCCATATACACTGAGGCTGGTGGGTTCTGGTGGTTTCAAGCCTGGCCCGAGCCTGTTAAACAACAATGACAACTGCAATTAGAAAATAGTTGGGTGTTGTGGCAGGTGCCTGTAGTCCCAGCTACTTGGGAGGCCGAGGCAAGAGAATCACTTAAGCCCAAGAGTTTGAGGGTGCTGTGAGCTGTGATGCCACAGCACTCTACCCAGGGTGACATAGTAAGACTCTGTCTCAAAAAAAAAAAATCCATCAGTGTTCCCACTTTGGGCTGGAAGTGTAAGTAGGATTGTGAGTGAGTGAGGGAAAAAGAGACTTGATGACTTTGTAGGTGTGGTGATGGTGATGGTGGAGAGCCCTCCCCATTACTAAGGAAAAGATCTCCCAGGGTTTAAGAGTGGAGCATATATATTTCAAAAAATAAAAAGATCCAGGAAAAGCGAATAAAATATAAGGAGGAAACATATAAGGACTATTGATTATCAATTAATGATGGTTTACTTTGAGAAAGGAGAGGGGGAAAGAAAAAGAAGGAAGTCAAAAGTAATGAGGAAAATCATGTATAGTGACACGGTAATAGAAATTCTGATAAATAAAACTCTAGGGCATCCTAAAATCCCTCAACTTCCAGTGTTGGCCACTTAAAATAATGGCTTTCCCTCCCTGAGATTCCACTGTTAAAATCATGCCTCTTAACTTACATGAGAGTTACTTCTGCTGGGATTGCCATCCTCATGATTATACATTTTCTCCAGTGGATCCCACCCCCACCCCCAATCCTGTGTTTTTTCTTACTTTTCGCCAGCAATGTGTTCTTGTGTTTACTTTTTCTTCTATTTCCTTTGCAGGCTTGAGTTATATAGAAAAGTACCAAATCTGCGAATTCTTGCCTGTGGTGGGGATGGAACGGTAGGTCCCTGAAAGAGAATCCAGTTCTCTCCCTATTTCTTATTGTTTTCCTGGTGATAGTTCTCTTTCTTCGTTCCCACAGTTCCCTGAGATACTTCTCTCTCTCACATGAATCAGAGCCTGTGATTCCACTGGGCTCAGGGGGACTTTGATATTGTCCTCGTGGATACAGACTTGATCTTGCTAAAGTATGCTCCACTCCCTCCACTATATTCTATCCTTTCCTATTCCACAGGTGAGGTAAGGATGTGGTCAGATCATTAAAGCACAGATTACAGATGGCCAAATTCTTTCAAAAATATAAACGGGCCTATTTCTATTCTTAATAATTGATCACAATCCATAGGGAGAAATATGTGTACACAATTAAATTATTGCCTTGTTTTTCTAGTGGAACTAAAACTCTGAATATTGACTAACAACATTAGTTCACGTTATTAATTATTACATTATTGGTTCCATTTATATGTATTTTTCAAGAGATGGTGGAATTGGGCTGATGTTTAATATCATGAACATATTTTCCCATGTTTGTTATTGTTCATCCATTTCTCCGTTTGGCCTTTACTTATACTGATATATTTAGCATAAGTAAAGAATGAAGAATTGTGACATTTAGATGGCATTGTCCCACAGTGTCTTTTTCTTCTGGACTTGGAGTCTAACCCTGCAGGATCTAGGGTTGCAATACAAAATCTCTCTGGCTTTTCTCTAATATCTTTCATTAGAATGTTTTATTCCTAGAGGTGGCACCAAATTTTATCTCCCACAGCACATAAACACTATTCATAGGATTGGATGCACGTTATATACTAATATGCACAACTGGAGTAAAGTAGAACAGTGATTCCAGTGGTCCCTCAGATACTCTGTGGGGAGAGAAAACATTTCTCATTTGGGGAAATAGTGCTTACCATTCTTCAAGAGTCATAATCCACATTACTAGCCTATAAAGTTCATTATAAAATCTTATAGCAAAAAAGACAAATTTATTTAATCTGGTTTAACCCAGTTTTCTTCAAAATGATTTGGCCATGGGATTTCCCCCCACTATACCAATTAAATTTTAATTGATTATAGTATTCTAGGAAGATGTATTTAGGGATATGCTACTGTGGCATTTCACCAACTTCCTTCAGTAAGACTTACATCCTCTGTGAACAGGTCCACCATGTACTTCCAGATCAGTTACCGTTAATGGGAGGATTCACGCAATGTGACTCTTTACTATCCTACTTAGCTTCCTTATTTTAGAATTTAATTGCTTTCCCCTGTGACTTCAACATCCCACTCACATCTTTGATTCTTCTTTAAACCTCAGTGACAGAAACAGACAAGTTGAGGATATAGTTCCTCCTTGTTCGTAACCCACATTCATATCAGCTACCCATGACATCCCCAAACCTTGGACTTTTTTGTTGCAGTGGGTACTCCACTTCCACAATCTCCCCATCTCTGCTGAACCCCCCACCCCCCGCTTACACCTCTCCCTTAACTTCTCTTCTTCTCCTCATTCTCACTTATTTTCCCTCCTTTACTCAGCACGTATGTGTGGGAAGCACTGTGCTAGGCGAGGTAGTATTGAGGCATTTTCTGCAATTAGGTAAGTATCTGAAAACACAGGACAAAGCATAAAGATACAGAGGGAAGGGAGCCAAGTCCACACACTTGTGAAACACGTAATTATGGAGTCTGAGCCAAAGTCCAAAAGGAAAATGAAAAGATAGGCGAATAGAAGGCCAGCACATAGTCCGTGCTGTCAAGTACAGAAACCAAAAATGTTTCAAGAAAGAGGCAGTGGTTAAATGTAATTTTTAAGGAGAAATGAAAAATTACCATTGAATTTGGAAACTGTGAAGTAATTAGTGGTGTCAAGGAGGCAGTTTCAATAGCGCGTCCGGATCAAAACCCAGAATGATGAGTACGTGAAACTTAGTACAGTCCTAATAAACTCCTGCTGGCCTGATCCAATTACAGTGCTGGACGTCTCTGAACTCTGATATCTTCGTCACCCTCCTTGACATACAGACTGTCTACTTCTCCTACTCTTCTTATCCAGTCTTTTCTAGCATCTCTTCATTAAATATATCATAATTGATGAGTACTCTACAAAGCTAAATCGTTCTTTTGTGTGCTAGGTACTTTTTCCTCGTAGGGACCTTATCTAAATGTCTAACTTCCATTTTTAACACTCTTCCATGTAACTCACAGATCTACTAGTAATTTACACTTGGTTGTCCCAGGGCCACTCGGATTAGGCATACCTAAAGTAAAAGTAGTATATTAACTCTGGAGAGTTAGGAGTTGGTGGTGCACATCTAAAATAAAAATAGCACATTAACTCTGGAGAGTTCAGAGTTGGTAGTGCATATTTTTTAAAACAATTCAAATTATAATGAGGGTACATGTGATTAGGTTACATAGGTTGCATTAGTGAGGTGAAGTCTGAGTTGTAGCTGTGTCCTTCCCCCAGGAAGTGTGCCTTTACCCGGGCCGTGGGCCTGTTGGGTGGGAGCTCACCCAACTCCTTCCCCCTTCTCCCCTACTTGAATATAACTGAGTTTTTCTCCCACATGAGCCTGTAGTTGTTAGTCTGCTAGTTTCAATTTAATGCTGAGTACATATGACATTTGTTTTTCCATTTTTCTGATACTTTGCTTAAGAGAATGTTCTCTGAATCCATTCAGGTTGTTATAAAAGATGCAAAAGTCTCTGTCTTTTTTATGGCTGAATAGTATTCCATGGATATATATGCCACAGTTTATTAACATGTTCTTGTGTTGAAGGACACTTGGGTTGTTTCCACATCTTTGCAGTTGTGAATTGAGCTGCTATAAACATTTGTGTGCCAATGCCCTTGGGTAAAATGTCTTTTTTTTCTTTTGGGTAGATACCTAGTAATGGGATGGAAGCATCAAATAGTAGGTCTACTTTTCATTCTTTGAATAATTATCATACTTCTCTCCATAGAGACCAGTTTCAGTCCAACCAGCAGTGTGGGGTGATTCCTCCTCTCTTCACCCATGCCAGCATCTGTGGCTTTGGGACTTTGTGATGTGAGCCATTCTCACAGGATTTAGGTGATATTTCAAAGTGTTTTTGTTTGCATTTCTCTGATAATTAGAGGTTATGAACATTTCTCATGTGTTTGCTGGCCATTCATCGGTCCTCCTGAGAACAGTTTCTGTTTGTGTCATTTGCCCAGTTTTTAATGGGGCTGTTTGTTTTCTTCTTGTTGATTTGCTTGAGTTCTTTGCAGATTCTATTAGCCCTTTGTTGGATTAATAGCATGAAAATATCTTCTCCTATTCTGAAGTTAGTTTCTTTGCTTTGTTGATTGTGTCTTTAGCTGTGCAAAACTTTTAAATTTTGCTGCCATTGCTAGTGGGGTCTTCTTCATAAAATCTTTCCCTAGACCAATAAAATTTTCCCATAGTCTTCTAGAGTTTTTCTAGTTTCATGCTTAGATTTGAATCTTTTATTCATCATAAGTTAATTTTTATAAGTGATGAGAAGTGCAGATCTAGTTTCAGTCTCTAGCTGGTTCTCTCAGCACCATTTATTAAGTAGGGATTCTTTTCCCTGGTTTATGCTTTTGTTTGTTTTATCAACAATAGATTTCTATATGAGGCTGGTTTCATCTCTAGGTTCTCTATTCTGTTCCCTAGGTCTATGTTTCTATTTTTATGCCAATACCATGCTGTTTAGATCACTATCAACTTGTGTAATGTGAAGTCTGGTAATAGTATAATGTGAAGTCTGATAAAGGGAGGTCTCCAGACTACTTATTTCATAGAATTGTATTAGCTATTCAGATTTTTTCTGATTTTATACAAAATTTAGAATTACTTTTTTCAAGATCTCAAAGTATGATGTCGGTTTTTTAATGAGCATTGGATTAAATCTATAGATTGTTTTGGGTAGTATAGACATTTTAATAATATTAATTCTTCCAAGCCCTGAACATGATACGATCTTCCATCTGTTACCTTCCTTTGCTGTTTCTTTCCTCAGTGTTTCATAGTTCTCTCTGTAGAGATGCTTCACATCCTTTGTTAAACATATTCCAAAGTATTTCACTTTCTTTGATTCTACTGTGAAGGGTATTGTATACTTGACTTGATTCTCAGCTTGACTGTTGGTGTGCATGCAATTTGTATACATTGATTTTATATTCTGAGACATTGCTGTATTCTTCTTCTTTTTTTTTTTATTAAATCATAGCTGTGTACATTAATGCAATCATGGGGTACAATGCGCTGGCTTACTATTTGAAATATTTTCATCAAACTGGTTAACATAGCCTTTATGGCATTTTCTTAGTTATTGTGTTAAGACATTTATATTCTACATTTAGTAAGTTTCACATGTACCCTTGTAAGATGCACCGTAGGTGTGGTCCCACCAATTGCTCTATTTCTTGATCACTTCCAAGAGTCTGGTGGTTAAGTCTTTGGGATTTTCTAAGTATCAGATCATATTATCATGAAAAAATGATACTTTTCCTTCTCTGTCCCCATTTGGATACCTTTGATGTCCTCTTGCCTGATTGCATGGAAAAGACTTCCAGCACTATGTTGAATAGTAGTAATGATGGTGGACATGCTTGTCTGGTTTCAGTTTTAAGTGAGAATGCTTTAAGCTTTTCTTCATTAGTATGATGTTAGCTGTGGTTTAAGGAATGTCCTACCAATCCCAATTTTTTTAAGTGTACTTAACAAAAAATGACGCTGAATTTTTTCAAATACTTTTTCTGCATATATTGAGAGGATCAGCTGTTCTTTATTTTTACTTCTGTTTATGTGGTGAATTACATTTATAGATTTGGATATGTTGAACCAGCCTTGTATTCCTGGGCTGAAACCCACCTGCTCATGATGATTTTTTTTTCTCTTTTCATGTGTAGCTGAATTCTCTTTGATAAGATTTTCTTGAGTATTTTTTTTTTTTTACAAATATTTATTAATGATATTGGTCCATAAGTTTTTTTTTTGTTGGGT